AAGAGTATATAAGCTGGAGAACACGCAGAATAAAAATCTTTTTTTTTCCTGGAAAAAAAAGTTTTTATACTGCATGTTATATATATGTAGTTATATATATAGTTAAAACAGTTAATAACTTAAAATCATATTTTATTAAGAATATATGAAAATATATGTATATATATTCTTTATATATTCTTTATAATATATATTTATATATAGAAATATATACATTTATATATAAATATATGAATATATATGCATTCTTTATTAAGACTATATAAATAATATATATTCTTAGATAGATAAGAACATACATATAAAAATATATTTATATGTATAAAGTTTATATATTAAGAATATATAAACTGTATTAAGAATATATAAAGGACATGCAGAATAAAAAACTTGAAAAAAAAGTTTTTTAATCTACGTGTTTATGTATATAGTTATATATATAGTTAAGACAGTTGATAACTTAACGTTTTATTAAGAATATATAAAAATATATATTCTTTATTAAGAATATATAAAGATTATATATTCTTATATACATAAAATTATTATATATATAAGAATATTCTTATATATAAGACTATATATAAATATGTAAATACGTTTTATCTATATAAACATATTAATATATTTTTATATAAAATACATAAAGTTTATATATTAAAAATATATAAACTGTATTAAGACTATATAAAGAACATGCAGAATAAAAAACTTTCTTCTTGAAAAAAAAGTGGGTTTTATTCTACCTGTTATATATATAGTTTTATGTATAGTTAATGCAGTTAATAACTATAAATTACGGTTTATTATAAAAATATATATTATTTATTAAGAATATATTAATAATATATATTCTTATAGTTAATATTCTTATATATATAAGAATATTCTTATATAATATATATAATATATAAAAGAATATATATATATACATTATATATATTATAGATATAATATATAAGAATATTCTTATATGTATAAGAATATATATACAGAAATATATAAATATGCTTATATATGTGTAAAATATATAAAGTTTATATATAAAGACTACATAAAGTTTATTAACAATATATAAAGAACATTCAGAATAAAACCTTTTTTCTTCTTGGAAAAAAAGTGTTTCTTATTCTGCATGTTATACATGTAGTTAATACAGTTAATAACTTAAAATCATGCTTTATTATAGATGATATAAAAATATATATTCTTTGTTAAGAATATGTAAGAATATATATTCTTATATATATAATATTATTTTACATACATAAGAATATTCGTATATATACGAATATATATAAATAAGTAGAAAAATATATATAAAGTTTATATACTAAGAATATATAAACTTTATTAAGAATATGTAAAGAACACGCAGAATAAAAAACTTTTTTCTTCGTGGAGAAAATTTATTTTATTCTACATATTATACATATATAGCTATGTATACAGTTAAGACAGTTGATACCTTAAAATCACGCTTTATTAAGGATATATAAAAGTATATATTCTTTATTAAGAATAGATAAAGAATATATATAATATTCCTATATATACATGAGTATTCTTATATATATAAATATATATATAATATATACATATATATAAAATATTTATATATAAAAAGTATATATATATTATATACATATATATAAAAATATATATATATATAAAATACATATATTATTATATATACTATACTCTAAGTATAGTATATATAATAATATATAAGTATATATTATTACTATATAAATTTATGTATTTTCAATATGAAATATATACCGTTTATATATGAAGAATATATATATTAATATATGAAGAATATATAAGGAACATGTGCCTCCTCCCGCAGTGCCAGCGCTCCCTGGCCGAGTACACGGACACGGCTGCCCAGCTCCTGCACTACCTGGTAAGAGGCTGAGGGCACCCCGGAGTGCCAGGGGTCTCTGGGTGCCAGCTGGTACCCGGCGACCATCATCAGCAAATCATCCCTTTTTTTTGTTAAACTCACCGCCTAATATTCCTACAAAATATTATTTTTTTTCTCCCTTCTCTCTGCCTTGCAACTGCTGCAATTACATTTTTTTTTCGTTTTTTCTTGCCATTTTCTGGCCCCTCCACCGGTAGCAGGCTGAGGTAAGTGAGATCCATGCCCTGATGTGCTGAAATTCCCTTCCCAAGGGCCAAAGCCCCCCTGATTTGGGACTTCTCTCTCTCTCCAGGACCCATCGGAGCTGTGTGGCCAGCTGGGACTCTGCGCCTCCAGCTCGGCACTGCCCCTCCACACGCTGCTCACCGAGAGGGTGATGCAGCTCCTCAGCGTGCTGGGGGTGAGTGGGGACCCCCTCCATGCTGCTGGGCTCCTTCGAGTCCAAACACTCCAAAGGGGGAACCTCATTTTGGGTTTTATTCAAGCACCTCCATTTATCTGAGATGGGGAATGTCTTATGTGGGGAATGCCCTATTTGGGGGATGCCTTACTTGGGGATGCCTTACTTGGGGGATGATGGTGGAACAGGATGAGGGTGGCTCTGGGGTGTGACGGCGTTCACAGGGGTCTGAGGATGAGGGAAGAGATGAGAATGTTGACTCCATGTTTCAGAAGGCTTGATTTATTATTTGATGACATATATTATATTAAAGCTATACTAAAAGAATAGAGGAAAGGATTCCATCAGAAGGCTAGCTAAGAATAGAAAAATAATGAATAACAAAGGCTTGTGACTGACCAAGACTGTCTGGGCAGTGGGACTGTGACTGGCCATTAATTAGAAACAACCACATGAGACCAATCCCAGATGCACCTGTTGCATTCCACAGCAGCAGATAATCAATGTTTACATTTTGTTCCTGAGGCCTCCCAGCTTCTCAGGATTAAAAATCCTAAGGAAAGGATTTTTCAGACACATGTCTGTGGCACTGGGGGGGCTCAGCATGCATCCCACCCCCTTGTGCCCACAGGACAGGGTGGGGAGCACTCCGCTGTGTGACGTGTGCCAGTTCACCGTGAAGACAGTGGAGAGCCTGCTGGAGAACAATGTGACGGAGGTGAGTCCCAGCCCGGGGGGTGGCACTGGGGGCTGGCACAGGGGGCCAAGGGGCAGCGAGGAGCTCCCCCTCCTCTGCCTTGTGCCGGCAGGAGCAGCTGGTGAACGACATGGAGAAGGTGTGCTACATGCTGCCCCACGGCGTCATCGGGCAGTGCAAGGACTTTGTCAACTCCTACGGCAAGGCCGTGGTGACCATGCTGCTGGAGGCCACCGACCCCGCGGCCGTGTGCGCGCTGATGCGCTGCTGCCCCCGCCTCGGGGACACCCGGCACGGTGAGCTGGCGCCCTGAGCCCGGGCAGGGGGCTGTGCCCTCCTCTGGGTGCTCACGGCCGTGTCCTGCAGGGGCTGAATCCCTGGAGCAGCTGGCGGTGAGCGCCGGCGCCTTCTGCAACGTCTGCCAGATCGTCATCACCTACTTGGACAACGAGCTGCTCAAGAACGAGACGCTGGAGGAGCTGGGCGAGGTGCTGGAGAAGGGCTGTGCCATGCTGCCCATGCCGCTGACCAGCAAGGTGAGCTGAGGGGGCACGACCAAGCCAACAAAACCTCTCCTGAGCCCCCTGCCAGGCTCACCCCTCTCTCCCTCCCAGTGCCAGGCGATGGTGTTGCAGTATGAGCCGGCGGCCGTGCGGCTCTTCGTGCAGATGATGGACCCCACCTTTGTCTGCACTGTAAGTGTCCTCACCCCTGGGGCAGCCAAGATGGGCCTCCTTTGTCCCAGAGGGTCAGAGGCTGCTCATGGGGGTTTCCTTCCTCTCCCTCCCACCCTTTTCCTTCTCAATGCAGAAAATCAGAGCCTGCGACTCAGGCAAGGAGGATCTCCTGGGTGCGGCGCCCTGCGTCTGGGGCCCGCAGTACTGGTGCAAGAACATGGCCACGGCGGTGGAGTGCAATGTAAGTGCCAGCTGTGTCCCCTCCCCGTGTCCCAGGGTGCCATGCTGGCTGTCCCTGTGTCCCAGGGTGCTGTGCCACCGTTCCTATATCCCAGAGTGCTGTGCCACCATCCCTGTATCCCATTGCCATCCCATCCTCATCCCTCCCCAGGCCGTCGCGCACTGCCGGCGCCACGTGTGGAACTAGGGGCCCTCTCCCCAGCTGGCTGGACTTGCTCTGCCGTGTGTCTGGGGACCCTGGCTCCCTTCCCCGGGATGTGCCCGCGCTCACAGACGGCAATGGCAGGAGCCACCCGGCCTCGCCGCGCCGGCGGGGCTGCGGGGAACCTCGGCCGCTTCCTCTTCCACTCCTGGGGCTTGGATTTCCAAATCAGGTTAAGGGACTCGTTGATATTTTCAGCACTAGGGATTCAGCCTTGACATCTCTCAGGGCCACTGTAAAATCCCCAAGCTCTATTCCCACCTCTGTCTCCATCCCCGATCCCTTCTCCATCTCTCCATCCCACCCTGAGCCACTCGTACGGCCCAGATCCCGCAACTTGGATCTGTCCCCGTGGGCTGGGCTGGGTTCTGCTGCCCAAAACGCTGGCCCCTCACTGCTGGCTGGCAGCAGCCTCACCTGAACATAAAATGAATGAGTTTGGGTGCCAGGATTTCCTGTGGCACCCCCATCCCTGCTGGGGGCCCCGTGCTGCCCCAGCCATGGGGTGAGGGCAGTGGGGTGCTGGGGGGGAGGTTGGGGGGCTGCCTGCACTGCCTCATCCTGGGCGTGCATGGGAGCATCCCACCAAAATAAACTCTTCCCGTGAGCCTGGCTGGTTGTGTCCTTCCTCCTCGTGCTGGGGGCTGCAGCGGGAGTGCGGGAGAACATTTAATGCTTCCCCCAAAATCCAAGGTGCAGCAATACCCAGGGCGGCGTCCCGTGCAGACGATGGATTGAGGGGTGAGTTAAAAGAGGGAATTCAGTTCCCAAAGGGGGTTTGGGCCTGATGGATGTGGGCAGGAAGGACGACAGACAGGTTACCCAAAGCCATAGACAGTGTATTTCTGAGTCCCGTAACAGACCGTGCCCGAAACTCTCCACAAGGTCACGACTGGAAACAAACCCCCGAACAAACAAACCCAAATGCAAGAGAGAAGGGGAAAGAAAAGGGCAACAAAAGACACGCACGAGCACTCGACACCCAGAGGCCCCAGTTAGCCTCTCTCTTTTTCGACATTGCAACAAGTTTTGGTACAGCCAGCAAAATGGAGGAATGTCTTTGGGTTGGGTTTTTTTTTTTTTTTTTTAATTTTTTGGGTCTTTCCTTACTGGAAAGGTGACGTTAATGCCAAAAGGATTCGGTCTCTCCCCACGCTTCCCTGGCCCTCCCCATGCTCGTGGTCGAGGTGTGACAGCTGCTTGTCCCCAGCCTGTGCCCGGGGATGCTGTGGCAGCACATCATCTGCATCCTCACTGCACCTTCCTCCCCCCTGTCCAGTCTGGACTCATCAGATTCATTTAGCTTTTCTTTTCCCCTTTTTTTTTTTTTTAGAAAAAAAAACCTTTTTTTTTTTAATAAGAAAAATAAAAAAAATTTAATGGTTTCATGGATAAATGACAGGCGAGTAAAAGCATTCCGGTCCTGAGAGCCCTCTGCCGGGGCCAAGCTCTCCAAGGAGCGATGCGCACCGGCCAGCCCGGACTCCTGCGGGGGGAGAGGGGGCCGAGCACCGCCCTGGCCCCCAGCACGGCCCCCTTGCTCTGGGCTTCATCCCCGGCTGGCCTGGAGGAGCAGAGCAGCGCTCGTCATAACTCGGTGATCTCCAGAGGGCTCTCCATGATCACCTCCCGCATCTTGTGCAAGGGCGTGGACTTGGCCGACTCGGTGCGGGCGTTGTGGTCGCTGTAGCCCCCGCAGTCGGCGGTCAGAGTCTCCAGCGAGCGGCCCAGCACCTTCTGGTCGTCCTCGGGCAGGCTGTTGAGGTCGGAGGCGAGCAGGGTGCCCGTGCTGCCGTGCACGACGTGGATGCCGTCCGGACCCTTGAGCTCCACCGGCTGCTTGTGCCGGAAGCGCAGGCTGCCCTGGCTGGGGCTGCGCTCCTCCTCCTCGTCCTCCAGCTCCTTCTGGATCAGCTGCAAGAGAGCCGTGCGGGAGGGAGAATCACCAGGGCAGCTCCCGGCTTCTCGGAGGGAAGGGCCCTCCTCTTGTGAAGCGCCCTCAGAGCATGGTGATGGGGATCACTGGGAGATGACCTCCAGATGGGTCTCTCCACCCTTGGGCAGATGCCCCAGTTTAGGTATGGCTCCATCCTTGGGCAGATGCCCCACTTTGGGCACTGCTCCATCCCTGGGCAGATGCCCCAGCTCAGGCACTGCTCCATCCCTGGGCAGATGCCCCACTTGGGGCACTGCTCCATCCCTGGGCAGATGCCCCACTTGGGGCACTGCTCCATCCCTGGGCAGATGCCCCAGCTCAGGCACTGCTCCATCCCTGGGCAGATGCCCCAGCTCAGGCACTGCTCCATCCCTGGGCAGATGCCCCACTTGGGGCACTGCTCCATCCCTGGGCAGATGCCCCACTTGGGGCACTGCTCCATCCCTGGGCAGATGCCCCACTTTGGGCACTGCTCCATCCCTGGGCAGATGCCCCACTTGGGGCACTGCTCCATCCCTGGGCAGATGCCCCAGCTCAGGCACCAGCTTCCCCCAGAGTGGCCAAGGAGGAGTTTGGAGCTAGGCTGGAATCTGGGGTTGGATGAGGGTGGAGGGACAGGAGGCAGACAGGGATTGAAGATGAAGGAAGGCTGGATGGGGCTGAAGGGGAATAGGGGCATGGATAGAGGAGGGCAGAAGGGCTGAAAGGCATCTCCCACCCCACTGCTGTCCTCTCCTCTCTTTGCCCCTTTTTTTTCACCCCCATGAAGGGTAGAAGGCCACAGGAGGAGTTTCTTCTCCCCAGACCAGCCCTTCTGCACCAACACTCTCCATCCCAGCATTTTTGCCTCAGAACCCTGTGTTTTTGAGGCAAAAACCAGAGAAGCAGGAGGAAGGGAAGATGATCCCCCACAGCTCTGGCCGGCCTTGGCAGAAATGGGAGCTGATGGACAGAGCCCAGTCTGCAAAGAGGGGTGTCCTCTCCTGGGGTCGGAGAGACCGAGGGAGAAGGTGCTGTGTGCTGATCAGAGGAAACACAGGCAGCCACTGTGGGGAACCAGCATCCTGGAAAACCAGTGAAAAAACAGCAGTGGGAACCGGTGGAAAACGAATATCTGGCTTGTTTTGACCAAGCAGAGAGTGGGGGCAGCACTGGTGACAGCGACCAGAGCCTGCGGGGCCAGGAGGACACACTGCATCCCAGAGGGCACGGCAAGCCTGTCCCCAGAGCCACGCACACCCCTCTACCTCCGAGACCGAGGAGCGGTCCCCCTGGCTGGCGGTGGCCTTATGCACCATCCGCTGGGCAAAGAGCTTTTTCAGGCGCATGTAATCATCCAGCACCACCTTCAGGAGCGTGCCCTGGCCGGGGGGGAGAGACTGTGCGTTATCCAGGGCAGGCGGCTTGCTCAGAGGGAGCCTGGCCTCATCCCTGCGGCGCGGTGAACCTGGAAGGTGCAGAGGAGACTCCCGGGCGCAGGACGCCCTCGGCGCTCACCTTGATGGGTCCCTCCCGCATGATCTGCCCCAGCTTGGCGATGTTGTCGTACTCCTGGATGGCGGCGCGCAGGTAGCGGTCATCCTCGGGCTTGGCGGCCGAGGGCTCCCGGCCGAAGGTGCCCTGCGGGGACAGGCGGCGGCTCAGCGCGGCGGCACCGAGGGGACAGAGGGGTCCCGCAGCGGGGCCGTGTCTCACGTGGGTGCGCGCAGGGCTGTTCCACAGGTCCGTGATCTCGCTCAGGTTCTCCGGCAGGTCGTCCTCGTGCTCCGCCTGCGCCGCCAGCTCCATGTTCCTGCAGAAGGGGTCCAGCCACACCGGGTTGGCCCTGCGTTATCAACAGCAAAAAGTTTTAAAATCATAAAATTCGGGGAATAAGAAAGAAGCTAGACTTAGTGGGGCCCTGGAAAAATGTTAAAAATAGACTCTGAAAATGTTAGGCTTTGTGTTTGCCAGATCATTTCACCTGTGTAAGCAGTATGTGATAAATGATATAATTGTTAGATGTGATGATTGTTTGGTAATTAAATATAATTATTGTTTAATCGTAAGGAGAATCATGAGAAACTATGTTAGAAGTTTGAGGGGGACCACGAGGAGCCTATGCTTGGATGAAATCTATGTATGCAACAGGACAATATAAGTTTAATAATTAACATGAAAGTTATATAATGATAGAATATAAAAACATGTTCATCCCGAACCCATGTCGGGGTCAGATTTGGGTTGACACCCAGAGCTCTTCAATAAAAGCACCTGCACATAATCATTCTGGTAATTATGTGTTTCTGAACGCTAACATTATCCCTAACCCCGTCCCGAGCCTGATGCTGAGGCTGCACTGCCTCCTCCTGCCCCGTGCAGGTACGAATTTGGCTGCTCTGGATCCAGATGTGTGTCAAACCCTGCCCTTTATCTCTGCTTACCCCAAACCTGGCCAGGATTGGCAGAGATGGAGTCACAGAAGAAAGAATAATATTTTTTAGCTCAGACAGCTCTCAGAGCGAGCGCGTGTCCCAGGATCAGTAATGCACCATGCAGGGCAGAGCAGACACCATGTCTCCTCCTCCTGGCTCCAAAACACAGGCATGCCCCTCTTGGGAGCAGCCTCCAGCCCCAGGAGGTGGCACTCACCCATCAAAGGAGTACTTGTTGGTGTTTGGCATGTCCATGATGTCCATGAAGCCTCTGTTCCCTGCAACAGGCAGGGGTGAGAGTTACAGGGCAGCACATTGGTGGCCTTAGCAGCAAACCATGGGGTGACACTTCTTTGTCAGGGAGGGATAAAGAGGAACCAAAAAGGCAGTGAGAAACACGGTGGGGTGTGGCAAGTAAAACAGAGCTTGATGCTGAGAAAAGCCTCCCAGCATCACACCTTGCTGGGCAGGATCGCCTCTGATATACACGCCATGATGTCCCCCATGTGTCCCTGTGACACCCCACTCTGCCATGCAGCTGGGACACCCCAAACACCGCTCACCAGTGGAGCCAGCCACGATGGCTTTCAGTTTCCTTTTGTGCCTGCAAAAGAAACACAGCCAGTTGGGGTAGAAAGTAAGGAAGATGCTAGAAAGGAGAAGGACACACAGATTTGCAATAACCCTTCATACAGGGTGTGCAATCAATAATAAATGTTAAATAAGGCTGGGGAGCTTTGAGCGGAGATGTACTAACACCATTAAAACCATGCATTTTGGAGGAAGCTGACACCCTCCTTTGCTTGCTGGCATTTCCAGGCCCAGGAGAAGCCACGCTGGTCCCCCTGGTCTAAGGGGACATGGCAGGGGCTGGGCAGAGCCCAGGGGTCACTCACACTGTCCGGTAGTACCAGTTCATGAGGATGAAGAGCATGGCAGCCAGGAAGAGCAGGACAGCCAGCACGATGATTGCCATCTAGGAGAGACAGAGGTGTGGGGAACCTCCAGGGGCCACATGCCCCAAGTTATCTGGGTGGAACATCTCTCCAGCACTGAGCAGTCCCCGTGGGAGGGGACACCTCCCCCAGAGGGCTGTGAGCAGCCCCTCCCAGCCCAGCTGGACCCTCACCTGCAGAGCCGAGAGGTCGTCGGGTGCCCGGGCAGTGATGGCAGGCTGCACGTCCAGCACGTTGTAGTTCCTGAAGAGATTCCGCAGCTGCTCCTTGTTCTCGTCTATCATCTGAATGACCCTGGGAAGAGAAGGGTTGCTTGGGCACCCTGACGTGGCGCAGGGTGCCCGGGGAGCCAGGCTGGGCGGGGGGACGGGGGATGTACCGCTCCACGTCCAGGATGCGGTTGGTCTCCCTGTTCACCACGTGGATCAGCAGCTCCGTCTGGGCAAAGTTCACCCGGCCCTTCTTGTCAACGTGGAACTGGGGAGAGACAGCAAGGTCTGCAGGGTGGGACAGGAGTCTCCTCCTGAGAATCCTCGAGGTGTGCTCATGTGGCAGGACACCCTCAAGCATCATCTGGACCTCCACAGTACACTCCAACCTGGGATGTTTCCATCACCTTCAGAGCCCAGGGGCATCTGTGGTTATCCAGGCAGGACTGGAGACCTCCCAAACAGCCTGTTGGAAGATCATCTACCCCCAAAACAAGCTCCAAGGCGGATGGTTACCTGCACATCATCTGTGTTGACGATGGCGCCGGTGATGTTGGAGAGCAGGCTGATGAACTCCTCCTCGAACTGCCTGACCCTGTCAGGGATCTCGTTGATGATGATCTTGACCCGCTGGTCATCCCGCAGGATGTAAATCCCCACGATGGCCGTGTCGTTGTGGCCCACCAGGTCAGAGGCCATAATGTCCACCACAAAGTAGCCGGGGTTGTAGGCAGTGAAGAGGTCGAAGGTTCGCAGGATGCCATCAAGGGTTCCTGTGGAATGCACGGTGACAAGCCCGGGATTGTCACAGACATCTTTTATGGAAAATCCTTTCCTTAGGATTTTTAATCCTGAGAAGCTGAGAGGCCTCAGGAACAAAATGTAAACAATGGTTATCTGCTGCTGTGGAATGCAACAGGTGCATCTATGATTGGTCTCATGTGGTTGTTTCTAATTAATGGCCAATCACAGTCAGCTGGCTTAGACTCTCTGTCCGAGCCACAAACCTTTGTTATCATTCTTCCTTTTTCTATTCTTAGCCAGCCTTCTGATGAAATCCTTTCTTCTATTCTTTTAGTATAGTTTTAATATAATATATATCATAAAATAATAAATCAAGCCTTCAGAAACATGTAGTCACATCCACATCTCTTCCCTCATCCTCATACCCCTGTGAACACTGTCACATGGGATCAATGACCCCAGCCACAGGGACACCTTTGGCCATGGGATGTCTCTGCCCAAGGCCCCATGCTCCTGCAGCAGGCTGAGCACCCACCAATGCTGAAGATGTTGGCCACCTCCTCGGAGTCATTGGAGTGCTGCTTGATGTAGCGGATGCCCAGGATGTGGTACAGGACCAGGCTGTTGTTGCCCACGTCGGCGTCCACTGCCAGCACTCGGATCAGCTCCGACCCCACCTTGGCATCGGTGGCAACCCCTTTGAGGGAGAGATGGGAAAGGGACCTGGGGCCAGGCTGGCTCTCCCCTTTACCCTGCTGGATTTTCCTGGATTATCTCTGGCTCCAGGCAGCCCCCAGCCCCTGGCACCTCTTACCCGCCGTGTACTCCGACTTGGTGAACTGGGGGGCCTGGTCATTGATGTCGTCCAGGAAGATCCGCACCTCCTGCAGGGTCAGGTCCTCGCTGAGGTCCCAGAACTGGGCTCTGGCTGCCTGCTGGCCCCGGGGAGGAGCCCAGTTCCTCTGGCTGGATGCCTTGACGATGATGGAGTGGTACGGCTCCTTCTCCCGGTCCAGGTCCCGCAGGACCTTCAGCTTCCCCTCCCGGCTCAGCTGGAAGTTGCTCTCCTCGTTCCCAGCTGGGTGCAGAAAGGCATCCCCAGTCAGTCCTCTTCCAAAATGCCACCTCGCCCGTCGAGCAGGGCAGAGGGGCAGCAAGGAGAGGATGGAAATCCTGGGTGAGTGAGGGGAGTGTGTGGGACACAGAGCTGCCATCTCCATGCCCACCTGCTATGAAGTAGTAGACGATGGCGTTGGAGCCCTCATCCGCATCCACCGCACCGGTGACATTCCCCACCACGGTGCCTGGCGGTGAGTGCTCGGGGACAGAGAGAGCCTGGTACTGGGGACTGTCCCTCTGCCAGAGACCCCAGGGAAAGGAACGTCATCAGCACTTAAATAAAACGTTGGGGTTGCTTTAAACCAAAGCAGACAAATCCCACCGGTGCTCCCCACCATGGTGACGCCCAGGTGTGCACGCTCCATCACACGTGATCACTGGCATCCCCACCCCTGCATCCCCTGCATCCCCTGCATCCCCTGCATCCCCTGCATCACACCCCCTTCCTGCTGGTGCCTTACAGGTGGCCTGAGGAAGATGGGTTCATTGTCATCGATGTCATCGAGCTCTACCTGCAGGGGCTGCATGGTCTCGTAGGGTGGCTGGCCCTGGTCGGAGGCCACGATGATCAGCTGGGGAGAGAGGCAAAAGGGCTGTCCTGGGCAAAACCAGGCTGGGAGACATCACTGAGGCAGGGACAGAGAGAGGACAGCTGGATGCTGGAGAATTTTGGGGAGACTTAACAGGGAATTGGGTGCTGGCCCACCAGGATGCAACCTCCCTAAGACACTTGATAACCACCCAGTTCCTGCTAAGGTGTGACACCACAACCGTGTCATCATGATGCCATCCCCACCACATCCCATGCATCCCACCAGCCCCACAGGGACCCACGGCCCCAGGGCCTGGCTGGCTCACATTGTACACTGCCTGCTGCTCCCTGTCCAGCCGCATGGCTGTCTGGATCAGCCCGCTGACCGAGTCGATGGTGAAATACTCCCAGTCCTTGTTCCCTGCCCCTGTCTTCAGCAGGCTGTAGAGCACCACTCCGTTGAGACCCTCGTCTTTGTCCGTGGCATAGACCTCGTAGACGTTGGATCGCAGGGGGATCTCCTGCTTGCACACACACAGCTTGTCACCATGACATTTTCTGGAAAACCCTCTTTGCCCAGGATTTTCTCCTGGGAAGCTGAGGGGCCTCAGAAAAGAATGAAAACAATAACTATCTGATTGCTTGGGAATGTGGAGATCGTTTACCAACAGATGCATCTTTGATTGGTTCCATGTGAATTGTTTTTAATTAATGAGCAATCGCCATCAGCTGTGTCGGACTCTGAGGAGTCAGTCACGAGCTTTCACTATCATTCTTGTTTAGCCTTCTGATGTATCCTTTCTCTTTCTTTAGTATAGTTATAGTATAGCATTGTTTTAATATAATATAATAACATAAAATAATAAATCAGCCTTCTGGGAACATGGAGTCAAATTCTTATCTCTCACCTCATCCTGGGGACCTCACAACACCACAACAGCCCTTCAGCCTTGGCGCTGCATGCAAACCCCCTGCTCCCCCTGCCCCTCTAGGCCCCCTTGGTCCAAAATCCCTTGGTTTGGAGGTCAGCAAGCTCCCACCACCCGAAATCCAACAGGGGGATGGCAACACAGAGCCATGATCCCCTCTGGGCTGGTGGCTGGGGATGGGCTGAGACACGCACTGGGGACTGGCTGAGTCAAGCCTGGCTTCCCAGAAAGCAGAAGCATCTCCAGTGTCAGCATTTCCAGCCCATGTTTATAAACACGGTCTGCACGCACCGGCCGTTTACTAATTCCAAGTGCTGTGGGGTTTCTGTTCCCCAAATCCGCCCCATCACCCTGCTCACACGTTTTGGAACGTCCACCCCCGTGACCCAAATCCTCTTGCCACATCCTAAATCAAGGTCTGGTTGCATCCCCAGTGGAGATGGAGTTTGGATTTTGCTGTTACGGGCAGGAGTGCCCCTGAACTCACTCCCAACATGCCCCGACCTGGTCTCTCCCCAGGGATTCACCTCCTTGATGTGCAGGATGGTGCCGTTGGGCGGGCGCACGAAGACGGGGCGGTTGTCGTTGATGTCGATGACATCGATGTGGAGCATGGTGGTGCCCCAGAGAGGGGGATGGCCCTTGTCCGTGGCCACCACAGTCAGGTTGAACCTCTCATAGGACTTCAGGCGCCGCCGGGATGTGACCAGCCCGGAGTCTTTATTGATCTTGAAAGCCTCTGGGGACAGAGAAAAGCCCCACACCTCTGGCTCAGGATGCTTTGCACCAGATAAATTGTGACTAGAAATGGGTATAACCAGCTGGAATGCACCCCCACAGCTGGCCAGGGGTGTGGGTGGTCTCAGGGCTTTCAGAGCACGCCAGCCCATTGCCACATCCTTGTCTCTGGGACCTACTCCCTGGTCAGCCCTGTCTGTGCTTCACTCCTGCCCAGGCTGGCACAGTGGAGCTTTTGGCTGATTTCTGCAATTTCTCAGTGTGCAGATATCCTGGATTTCAGGCACTATCACCATCCACCCACACCTCTTTGCCCCTCAAAGCCTTCACCTGAAGCAGGCAGTGAGTCTGCTCCAAGACACACTGGGTCTAACAGAAAGTTCTGCTGGGGTGAGGAAGACAAGAGCATAAGGCAAGGCTGGGCTGTAGGACAAAGGCAGGCAAAGCCCTAACGTCCCACACCATGAGATGAGGAACTGGAAACTGCAGAGAAATGGAGAAAGCTCCCACTTTCAGTATCGCTCCCAGGAGTCCAAAGCAGCCACAGGATATGGGGTGTGGGCTTAGTGCCCATGACTCCTTCCTCCTCATAACCCTCCTCCCTGGGAAGGGCCCCTGCCCCAGCACCCACCTGCTCCAGGACCCTCGATGCTGTAGGTCACCACGCCGTTGTCCCCCTCGTCCAGGTCGGTGGCACTCATGGTGATCACTGATGTCCCCGCCGGTTCATTCTCATACACGCTGGTGCTGAACTGGCTCTTGCTGAACTGGGGCCTGACGTCGTTGATGTCCAGCACCGTGATCAGCACCTTTGGCAAAGCACAGCCAGCTGGTGTGAGGCTGGGGAAGGCTGGGCAGCCCCTGGGGCCGTAGCCCTGTTGTGACCTGCAGCTTTGCTGCTGCAGAGAGGTGCCCTTCCTGCTATTTGTTTAACTCCACCAGCTGAATTCCTGCCTCCAACAATGGGGGCCGCCGTGGCTGGGGCAGCCATTCATGCCACAGCACTGCAGACAATAGTGTCACCCTCCCCTGCCCCTCCTGCCGACGTGCTGTGCCTGCAGCACAAAGTGCCCCGCACCATCCACCCCACGGCTCCTGGCGTCACCCGCTCTTCCTTCTGCCTAATTCCCCCCAGTCCAGCCCCTGGGAGGAAAGGTGGGGCTTTAACAACTTCTTGCTGGTGGCCAGCACCCAAGGGGTGACGGGAGGAGAAGGAGAGCCCTACCTGCACAGAGTTCTCCCGACGGTTGCTGGAGACATCCCCAGGGTTGTCCCTGGCCACAGCTGTCAGTGTGTAGTGATCCTTCTTTTCCCGGTCCAGGGCTGACAGGATGTAGATGTCACCCTGCAGCACACAGAGACCTTCAGGTGGACCTCGTCTGGCAGAGCTGGTACTCAAGAAGGGGCACAAGGTGAGGTGTGGGAGCAAGGCACAAACTGGGACCATTTCAGCCTCCCCTCCCTTCCCCTGCTGTGTTCCAGCCTCAGTTGGCTCCTTACCGTGTTGGGATTTATCCCAAACTTGCCCTCTCCATCGCTCAGGCTGTACTCGATGAGAGCGAACTGCCCGGAATCCGCATCGGTGGCCGTGACGCTCAGGATGACCGTACCCAAGGGCACGTCCTCAAACACAGCTTTCTGCAACAGAGGCAGCAGGCAGGACTGGCTCAGCCCCGGCTGTCTCTGCAGGCAGTAACCGTGGGCACAGCTGGCACAGCTGGCACCCAGCACTGGTGCTGCAGATTGCAATGCAAGATGTTTTCCATTACCATCTGTATGGCAGATTACCTTTGTCAGGTGGGCAGTTTGCCTTATCTCTCTCTTTGAGTGACCACATTCACACCTCCCTCGGGAGGGGACATTGCTGATAACAGGCTATTGAATGTCACTGCATGGCTGATAAGAACTATAACATCCCATTGGGAGATGCTCCGCCCAGGGGGAGGAGCCAAGCATTGCTACCCAGATATAATCCAGAGGGAGGAGCCAAGCATTGCTACCCAGATATAATCCAGAGGGAGGAGCCAAGCATTGCTACCCAGAGATAATCCAGAGGGAGGAGCCAAGCATTGCTACCCAGAGATAATCCAGGGGGAGGAGCCAAGCATTGCTACCCAGATATAATCCAGAGGGAGGAGCCAAGCATTGCTACCCAGATATAATCCAGAGGGAGGAGCCAAGCATTGCTACCCAGAGATAATCCAGAGGGAGGAGCCAAGCATTGCTACCCAGATATAATCCAGAGGGAGGAGCCAAGCATTGCTACCCAGATATAATACAGAGGTTTTGAGACACCAGCACGGCTTTCTCCATGGGATTCCCCAGAGGAACAGCAGCTGTCTCTTCTTCCACTGGATCTTCAGAGGCAGAATACATCCTTCTCTACAGATCCCCCTTGCTCCAGCAGAACCACCCCTGATACTGCAGGAGGGCTGCAGTCACATTTCCAATGGGACTGCCACCAACACCCTGACCCACAGGGTGTCAGGTTGGGTTCTGACTCTGTCAGCATTATCCTAGTGTACTGCATTGTTTATTTTATCCTTTAATATTTTTTTCCCTATTAAAGAACTGTTATTTCCTGCTCCCATATTTTTTGCCTGAGAGCCCCTTAATTTAAAATTCATAGCAATTGGGAGAGGTGGGGAGGGTCTACATTCTCCATTTCAGGGGAGACTCCTGCCTTCCTCAGCAGACTCCTGTCTTTCCAAACCAAGACAACTGGGCACAGCCAGACTCCCAGCAAGGTGTTGGCACAAAGCACAAAGCGCGTGCCAGCGTTGGCCATTTTCTCTAAAGGGCTCAAGCATAGGCAGAGGGAAGAGGAGGTGTCCCTGGAGAACCCCCAGCTCTGTGCCTGTCCTCACCAGCCCAAAACATCCACAGTTTGACAGGGGTGCTCACCTGGTAGGAGGGTTGACTGAAAACAGGGTTGTTGTCATTGATGTCCACGATCTGCAGGTACACGGGGATCTCAGCGGATCTGCGGGGAGAGCCGTTGTCGGAGGCGCGGACGGTGAAGTTCAGCCACTGCACCTCCTCATAGTCCACCGTCCTGTTGGCCACAACCTTCCCTAGAGGATGGCAGACCCTGGAATGAGAAACCTGACCCAGGTCACCCACCTGCCCCAGAGTCCCACGTCCCCAGGCCACCAACCTGCCGAAGGGTCTTCCAGACAGGCGTAACCTTCCGGAGAGAGGTTCAGCAACTCGTAGGTGATCTGCCCATTGGCACCTTTGTCTGGGTCCACTGCTGAGATGGAGATGAGTGTGGTGCCCTGTGTGGCTCCCTCCAGGATCCGCTCCGTGAAGTAGGTGACCCCAAAGGGACGGAAACGGGGCGTGTTGTCATTGACATCCAAGACGTTGACTGTCAGCTTGGCTGTGGCCGTGGCGGAGACCACAGGGGGAGAGAAAAGAAGAAGAAAAGTGAGAAAGAGAAGGGAAGGAAGGTTGGGATGAAGGAGGGTTGTAAAGGCACAAATGTGAAAGTCTAGGAGAGCCAGTAGGTGCCGGTACTTTAAGAAAAAATTTAATATGCCCCAAAGCCACTATTCCCTGAGCACGCCATGGGTGCTCCTATGCTGCAGTGGGACACCTGATCCTGAGCTCTGTGTCTCTTCTCACACATGAGCCTGAATTTATCCAAAGTGGGGTGGCAAGATACCATAGGAATGGTAATGAAGAGATGAGTGTCTCCCATGGAAGGGTTATGGGCACACAGTCCTTTCCTCCCATGATAAGATTATGGGCACACAGTCCTTTCCTCCCATGGTAAGGTTATGGGCACAAAGTCCTTCCCACATCCACTGCAGCCCTGGGATTTCTGGGACATTCTCTAAAGGAGTCCTCAGGGGAGAACCTGAACCTGACGGGAGCTTGTCCAGGACTGGTCCCACTGGAAATGCTGCTGGTCAGGATGGAGAGGAAGGTGGGAGAGCTGCTGGTTATCCAGAAGCTTCACTGGTGCCTGGGAAGGCTGTGCCAGTCCCCGTGCCCACCCTTACCGTTGGGCACGCTGACCGAGCGGTCGATGACTTCGCTGGCGTTGTCATGGACAGAGATGGTAACCTCGTAGGTGGCCACTAGTTCACGGTTGAGGGGAGTTTTGATCTTCACAGCTCCTGGGAACCCCAGAAAGATGGATGTCACAGGCTGTGCCTGTGCCCATGCCTGGGCAGGGGGGTGAGTACCAGCCCACCGCTGCATCCTGCACCATGCTTGTTCTCCTGTCCCTCCAAAGGGTGAATGAGGAAAACACTTGAGAGCTACATGAAGAGACAACTGTTCTCCCCCTGCTCTCCATGTCCTTCCTACCTGCCTGTTCCACACGGACTCAGGTGGTTCTGGTTGTGTATCTAAAAGTGGTTTGGGAGCAGCTGTTGCTGCTCCCCTGCACAACCCCATCCACCTGAGCTCAGCATCTTTCACAATCTTGTCCTGTGTCTTTTCCAACAAGGTCATTTTTCTGTCTGGATCAGCTTTGTGCTTCCAAAAGAGACGTGAGGAGCTCCTGGCCCTCCTTCCCCAAAGGAGCCCACCACCTGCCCTGGAGTGCCCCTTGCTCCCCCAGGAAGGGGGCTTGGGCTCAGTCTGCGAAGGCTGAGCAGCTCCCGGCCCGCAACGGAGGCCAACTCTGCCAGTGGAGATGGGTGAGATGGAGGAGACCATGGTGGCACGGAGACAGGAATGAGCACAGGCACAGAGACAAAACTGAGAGCAGGAAAAGAAAGCAAAGTTAAGTCAGTTAGACAGAAAAGAGAAGGGTGAGACAGTGGGGAGGCAGGAGAGGAGCACCACCGCCCTGTACCTCGGACACCTACCTCCAGGCAGAGAAGAAGAAGAAGTAGAAGCAGAAACAAGGAGAGGGGTCCACACTGCCCACTCCTCCCTTCCCGCTCTCCTACCTGTCCTGAAATCCACCGTGAAGGCTCCCTGCTGGTCGGGCACCAGCGCGTCCGTGTCATCGCGGGCCACGATGCCCAGCAGGTAGTACTCCAGGCGGGGGTGCAGGTCCCTGTCGATGGCCGTCACCTCGGCCACCACGGTGCCCGGGGGAGCAGACTCGGGGATGCTGACGCTCTGGATGGGGTTGATGAACTCGGGCCGGCAGTCGTTGACGTCGTCGATGAGGATGCTGACGGTGGCCGTGCCTGACAGCGCCGGCGTGCCCTGGTCCACGGCCACCACCACCAGGCGGTAGGCGTCGCGCTCCTCGCGGTCGATGGTGATGTTGGCCACGCGGATCACCCCCGTGCTGGCATCGATCAGGAACCTGTCCTGGCCACCACCCTCAATGCGGTAGTCCAGCTGTTGGTTGAGGCCACTGTCAGCATCCGTGGCTGTCACCTGGAGGACGGAGAAGCCTGGAAAGGTGGGACACAGCCCTCTTAAAAGAGGGTTGGAGGGCAGCAGCAACCAGCCCTTGGTCCCAAGGCAAATACCATCAAGAGACATAGGAGACTCAATTCCCAGATTTTGACCGCATCCTGGCCAATGGTGTCATTGGGAGCAGGATTTTCACAGTCCCAAGGGGACACCCGGGTCACCCCGTTTCCCACCCTGACATCCAGTCCTGACCTGGAGGGCTGTTCTCCAACAGCCGCACTGTGATGGATGCTGGATGGAAGACAGGGCGGTTGTCATTGTCATCCAGGACGGTCACTGCCAGGCTGGCTGTGCTGTTCAGCCCCCCCACATCACGAGCCATCAGTGTGAATTCCAGGTGAGGGTCCAGCAAAGCCTCTCGGTCGATCACACCACCAGGCTTCACCGAAACCACACCTGGAGAAAAAGGGGAAAAGCCTGGTGGCAGACCACATGGGGACCTGGTGGCCCTAGGCTGGGGACAGACCGGCTGGGGGCCACCTCACCTGTCCTGTTGTTGATAACAAAGAGGTCCGGGGATGCCTTCAGGAGCTCGTAGGTCACCACGGCATTGCTGCCCTGGTCAGCATCCAGAGCTAGGATGGGTCCATTGAGCATTGTGACAGGAGTCCCTGGGCGAAATGACAAAAGCATAAGGGAGGGTGGCAGTCCCCTGGAGGGCCCCCCCGTCCCCCTCCCACCCCGGTGACACATGAGGGACAGCAATGAATGGATGGAGGAGGTGACAGAGCCAGGCCTCAAGGGGTGTGAGGCACTGGGGGGTGGCTGCTGCAGCCTTGCAGACCGACTCGCGAGGCCCAGGAGAGGTGGTGGGACATCCAGCTAAAAGCAAACAGACAGACACATCCATCAGAGGGGTGGCAGCAGCGCCCTGCCACCCAGGGTGTCACCTGGAGGCACCCAAACCCTTTGCTTGAGACGTTGCTCAAGGGTGGGACAGGATACCTGAAGTCTTGGAGCAGGGAGCAATTTAAATGGCAGGAAGGCAACACAAAATAGTAAGAATTGTGTTTCTAGCTCTTTGTCTGGGAAATGTCCATCTGGACAGGCTGGACTCTTTTAAAAATCTCTAACCCTTGGAGCAAGGCAGTTCCAGGTGATGGGGTGATGGGCAGCCCATCCTCTTCAGAGCATTGGGCAAATGGATGCCCTCAAGGCTGCCCCCAGGGCTCTGCTCATCCCACAGGCACCTGCTGCAGTTGAGAAAATCCCAAATGTGCCCATTTTTGACCTGTGCTAGGAATGGTTTCCACAAGCAGCATGAACCAAAGCTGTGGTCTCCTCAAGGCTCATCAAGTCACAAGCTCCTCAAACTCAGCATCCCTGTCCCAGTGAGCTGCCCTACCCAACATCCTTTCTCCTCCACCACGGCAGGGAGACATCTCCCCTCATCCAGCTCTTAAGGGAGTCTCCAGGAGCCACATTAGGGAGTGAAGAGAGACCTACCAGGGGGCGAGTTCTCCATCACCTCAGCCTGGTAGGAGCTCTGGGTGAAGAGGGGGCGGTTGTCATTCTCATCCGCTATGGAAATGACCAGCAGGTCGAAATCCTAAAGGAAAATTGGGACAAGAGGGCGATGACCATAGTGTCCTTTCCTTGAGCCCACCTTCCCCCTCTGGGGCAGTCAAAGGATGCTCCACTATCATTGTGGTTGTCCAACTCTCCAGCCCAACACTGTCCCACCCTTCCATGACATCTGCTGTTGCATGGAGTCAACAAATGACTTTGGACTCGCCCTAGATCCTACTGCTCCTGTTCCCTGCTGGGAATGGGGCTGTAGCCCCCTCCTTGTGATCCCCAGACGCTTTCTGGGGATGGGGCTGCTATCAGAAACACCGTGGGTAAAGGCAGCGCTTGGTTTTGGCCATTTTCCTCCCCTGCCCCGCTGGAGGCCCCGGCAGTGTCCGTAATTACCCGCCTGGCATTGCGGATGTTCTCGGGGTTGTCCTTCACCGTCACCGTCAGCCTGTACTCGGCCACCCGCTCCCTGTCCAGCGGGCGGTTCACGTACACAACGCCACTCTGCAGGGAAAACAAGGGATAAAACACCACAATGCCACTCTGCAGGGGAAAACGAGGGAGAAAACACCACAATGTCACTTTAGTGGGGAAAACACCACAATGCCACTCTGCCGGGAAAAACAAGGGAGAAAACACCAAAATGCCATTCTAACAAGGGAGAAAACACCACAATGCCACTCTAGTGGAGAAAAGAAGGGAGAAAACGCTACAATGCCACTCTACCAGGGAAAATGAAGGAGAAAACACCACAATGCCACTCTACTGGGGAGACAAGGGAGAAAACGTCACAATGCCACTCTGCTGGGAAAAATGAGGGAGAAAACACTACAATGCCACTCTGCCGGGGAGAACAAGGGAGAAAACACCACAATGCTACTCTAATGGGGAAAATAAGGGAGAAAACACCAGTGGGATGCAAGGAATGCTTCCCCTAGGGCATTTCCTGCCAGGACAAGGATGCCAGACTGCACAGCTGGGTTCCCACGCCCCTCATCCCAGCATCCCACCCCCATTATCCCAGCATCCCACCCCACTCCCGGGCCGTACGGTGCTGTTGATGTAGAAGGCATTGTCCGTGTTCCCTGCTGTTATGTCGAAGGTCAGCAGCGCGTTGGGGCCCTGGTCGGCGTCGTGGGCGAGCACGCGGGTGACGAAGCTGGAGACGGCGGCGCTCTCGCTCAGCGTGAGGTTCATGGGCAGGTTCAGCAGCACGGGGTCGTTGTCGTTGATGTCCAGCACGCGGACACCCACCACCATCTGCCAGGGAGAGAAGCAGGGCAGGCATGTGGCACGTGTTTCCAGGCCTCCCATCCTTTTCTTGCACTCCCCGGGCAAGAGGCCCAGGATGGAAAGGCCTCAGGACAAGGAGAAGGAGGTGGAGGGGAGGAGAATGATGCCAGAGACCAAAAGGGAAGGATCTGAGCATGGGGACAGCTCAGAGCCCCCCGTGCCAGCCTGGGGACTCACGGTGGAGCTGAGGGGAGGCACGCCCCGGTCGCGGGCGGCGATGGTGAGGTTGTAGAAGGGGATGTTCTCGCGGTCCAGCTCGGCGTCCTTCCGCACCCGCAGCTCTCCTTCCACCGGCGAGATGACAAATTCCCCTGCCGGAGACAGCGGGGCCCTGGCTCTCACCGGGCTTTGGCTCCCCATGGGAAGAGCTTGTTTGGGAGCTGGGGCACCGTGGCAGGTTTGGGGACAAGCCCATGCCCCGTTACTGCAGGTACAGGAGGATTGACAGCTGGGGACTCTGATGGGTGCACCCCCAGGTAGCACCAGGAGCAGGGGATGGGGTGAATGGCCAAACAAGAGGTGCCTGTCCCCATTTTCTGGGCCTTTCTGAAGATGCCAACAGCCCCTCTGTGCCCTGGGATGGCCAGAGCAGGGTGGGTTACACAGCACTGACCCCCCATGAGCCAAAGGGCCTCGTCCTGCCTGTTCTGGAAAAGCTTTGGGCTCAGCTGGGAGATGGGACTGGGCTCCGCCTTCCAGATTCTCTCGACCAGTCACCACTCCCTTCACCGAGGCACATCCAGATGTCTCCATGGTTAGGGATGACCCCATGGTTAGGAATGCCCCCAGCTCCTCTGCCATCTGCAGCATGGAGCTGGTGGAGCTGTGAATGCTGGAGAGCAACTCAGTCCATCAACACCCTGCAAACCCCACAGGGACTTGGGGACAAGGCTCAGTTTTTGCACTTTTTTTTGGCCTTTTTAACTTCTTTTTGCCTTTATTGCTCAGCAGTTTTCCCCCTTCCCTCCACCAGCCCCAGGCACCCCCTGCCCAGGCACGAACAGGTTAAGTTTCCTGTTGCTCAAACAGGATTTCCTGGTGTCGACAGGCCGAGCTGGGAGGGAGGATGGCGTTTCTGAAGCGCTTCCTCCCCGCGCTCCTGCGAGCCAGGCTCCTCCATGGGGCGGCCAGCGGGACCATGTGTGTGTCCCCACTCACCCAGGGGGTCCCCGGCGATGATGCTGTATTCCACTTGTCCGCTGGGCCCCGAGTCCCCGTCGTGGGCCAGGAAGGTCCAGACACGAGGGCCGGGCTGGCCCTCGGTGACATCGAAGGGCCCCTCGTAGGGCCGCGGGAAGGTGGGACAGTTGTCGTTGATGTCATTGAGGTTCACCAGCACCTGCGGCCACGGGCAGAGGCAGGAGGGTTGTGAGAGGAGAGGGTGGAGGGGAAGGGAAGAGCACCCTGCTGGCCATGAGCATGGGAAGCTGTGGAAGGCACAACTCCTCCTGTATTTCTGGTTTTCTGGGCTCACCAGACATCCAGCTCACCGCTCAGAGAGTCAAACTCAGCTATTCCTGATCATGCCCACTCTACATGCACACTGCAGGACTCCAGCTGCACACTGCCAAACCTCTGGGTCACACACCACGGTGGGAACTCAACCCAAAAGCCCAATGTCCCCCACATCCACGTCCAAGCAGGACAAAACCACAGAGATGAGTCTGGAGACACGCGATCTCTGCAGCCAGCTGCACACTGGCTCACTCCTCTGCCTCCAACAAATACTTAATTCCTAATGCTGGGCAAACTTTAAAAAACGGAGAGGTTGCATCCTTGTCCCAACAAAGCCACCAGCACCACTGGTGGTATAGGTGGTTAGGAGAAAGGCACTGGAAATGAGGAGTTTTCTGAGCTCCTGGTTGAAGAACGGTGAAACCCACCAGATGGGCATTTGCTGCTGATTAAATCTAATCTTTACAGAGAGTACATCCAAGATTCTTCCCCGTTTCCTAGCAGTGGAGAAAACAAACACTGGAATGCCTTATCAGGGTCCCATCACTGGGGATCTCAAATAATCCCTAAACCTCCCCCTAAAAGCTGTGTTTTCGTACACTGCTGGCACAAACTCCTGGAGCAGTGGAGGGAGGGTGTTTCCATCCTTCCTGGCTTTGGTGCTTGTTGCTGAAGGGGTTTCCAAGTTCGTGTCTCTGCTTGAGCCAAGCGCAGGGGAAGATCTGCCCTCGCCTGCAGTGCATGGCAGTTGTGCCTTCGCTGCCTGCAGTTAAACCCTGGCTCTGTCCTGGGCCAGGAAGCCATCCCCAGCACCATCAGATGCCCAAATCTGAAGGCTTTCCCTTCATCCAAGCACAGACTCTCACTGCCAGGTTTGTGTGGACAGATTTTATCCATAGAAATTTCCCACATCGGTACCTCCCCTTTAGTTTTCCTTTTATTTCCCCTTCACACACAAGAATTTATCTCCTTTTGGGGGATTACAAAACCTGTGGCTCAATATCAGGGTGAGGTACAATGGTCCATGGCAATCAAGGCAGGAGGTTTAACCCATCCCTGCCACCTGCCAACCACCAAATAAATCTGGGCGTGCTGTAGAATTTGTCAAATTTTGGTTTTGGCGACAAAAACAATCGGTGCACTCTATTCCTGCAAAATATTTGCTTTGGAGCTGCTTGCCTGCCCTCTCCAGTCTTTGAGCAGTGCACTAAGTTCAGGTCACCATGGCCCAGGGAAAATAGAGCTACAGAGAAAAGCAACATAAAAATGACTAGAGGCTTTAAATAACCTCCTTACAAGGGAAAAGGGAATTTTCAAAGCACATAAATAGCAAGAAGAGATAAAGATGACGCTGAAATTAATGTTATAGCAATGCTTCACTTCCTGCTGTCCCTTCAAGGACCAAGAGGACATTTCAAGAAAACATAGGAGGAGGAGCTCCAGGAGTTTCTTTGTGTCTTTGCAGGACCAAATAACTGGGCTAATTAACCCAGAAACACCTCTTGTGCAGGACCCAGTTTTGAAACACCCTTGAGGGAGAGCAAGGCAACAGCAACTGGGCAAACCAGCCACATCTGGCTGAAGCAACCAGTGACCACTGGGAAGGAGATGTGAAACTGCTCTCCAAGTGGGAACTCCCTGGCCCCAGAGAGGCCAGGGTGTCGCAAGCCCCCCGCCAGCTCCTCACCGTGGCTGTGGACGTCAGCCGGCGCGAGACGATGGGGCACTGGTCGGTGGCGGTGACCACCAGGGTGTAGCGCCCGTGGCTGATCTCGTAGTCCAGCTCCTTGACCGTGCGGATCTCCCCCTGCAAGGACAGGGCAGTGAAGGGACGGGCACGGGGACACGCGAGCAGCGGGGCCGGCGGCCGCACTGACCGTGGCGTTGTCGATGTGGAAGGTACCCAAGATGTTGCCCTCGGTGATGGCGTAGGCCACCGTGCCGTTGGGTCCCTCGTCCTGGTCCAGGGCCTGCACGGTGACCAGGCTGGCGTTGAGGCTGGAGGGGCCCTCGTCCAGGGTCACCTCGTAGAGCTGCTGCCGGAAGGCGGGAACGTTGTCGTTCTCATCCAGGATGGTGACGTACACCGTGGTGGTGGCCTGCGGGACATGGGACATCGTGGTAAGCACTGTGGAGGCATTTGCTGGGCAATCAAGGCTGGATCTGTCAAGGTCAGTGACCAACAATGGCTCAACACTGCCAAGAGACACAAAAAGCACGCAGGGCTCCAAGTGAAATGAGCCGTGGCTTCAGACGCACTTGCAGGTGACAGAGATAAATCAGAGATTTAATCACACCCTTGTTCCCAAGTAAAGCATGTCTCTGTGGGATCCCTCCCCTTTTCCCATTTTACCATTGCTGGCAGCACCAGGGAGCAGCCCATGGCACAGGGAAAACCAGGCACTGAGCCCCACTGTGCCTCCCTGCCTTTGGTGTGTGAGTCCTTGCCTTGCCACCTTGATTGCCACTAACAAGTGTGGCCATATGGGTGGAAAATCCTGGAGACAACGCTGCCACGGCTCAGGGGAGGAACAAAACCAAATATCTGGGACAAGTGGACCGACCTCCCATGGTCCCACCACCTCCCTGCTGACCACAACCTCACTGCTGGTCAGGCTCAGCTGGATCAGAGCCTCTTCCAGTGGTCCCTGGCCCTGAACGGGCACCTGGATGTCCTGGCTGTCTCACAGGGGTGTCACCCCACCTGGGATGGGCTGGTGACAATGCCACACCACTCTGCCTGAGGGCTCAGCACCGAGCTGGGGGCTTGGAACAATAAACCATTTCCTTGGCGTGTCTGGGCTTCATGCCTACACCTTCCCCCAGCAACAAATTTCTCCCAGCCAGCCAAAGGTTACGTTTTTGGCAGGAGCATCAGAGCCGTGTTTGCTGTAAAAACCACAATGCCACACCGTAATTAGGGGTTTTTCTATTTCCCTGCACACTCCGGATTCAGAGCAGGCGGGCAGCAAAGTTTCCTGCGGGTTGCAAAACTCCTCATTCTCCGGGCTCCACTTTCCAGGGAAGGCTGACTGGAAATGAGGCAGCTCTCAGCTGCAGCCAGAGGCTTTGTTGATGCCTTTGGAATTTGGAGAGAAGCTCCAGGAGGAGTTATGTGTCAGACCACGGGCCTGCTTTGCTATTTCAGGGCAAAGTGCAAACGGGCTGTAGGAGGGGGAAGATGGGGCTTTGCTCCCTTTTTTTTTTGGGAAAGCTCCATTTCCTTTTCCAAGTTGGCATTGCTCTGAGTAACCCCTCCCTGTACCCGCTGCCCGTTCATCCCAGGACTGCAGGGATCCATCCCAGGAGGTTCTGCCTCCTTAATCCTCACAAACAAGGCAAAACCAGTAATTGTGAGCAAAGTTACAAGCCGGCCCAAGGAATCAGCTCCTTCTGGGAAGAGGGACGGAGACCAGCACCCGCAAGTCCCTTGGCACCCTCCTTAGCACCCCAAAAACGCTCTGAGCGAGGCTGTAAGGGGAGAAACGCAGCCGAGGCACCCTTCATGAGGAGGAGGAGGAGGAGGGCTCCGAAGGCATCCCCACCCCGGGCGCTCCCTGCAGCCTCTCACCTCCGGGGGGTGCTCGCCCTTCTCGGCAGCGCTGCGCTGCGAGCCGCGATGAAATTTCCTGTGTGTCCCAGTCCGGCTGAGGCTGCGGGGCTGCTCGGAGCGTGCGGGGGCTCGGCAGAGGCCGCCCCAGCCCGGCCACCCCTGCGACATGGGCACGGCGCGCCCCCGGCCCGGGCTGCTCCTGGCTGCGCTCTGCCTGCTCGCCTCCCACGGTAAGCTCCAGCTCGCTTCGCTCTCCTCCCTGCCCGCAGAAACTCTCCCCACCGGGGCTGTGCTCCGGCACAAGCAATCCCGAGCGTTCGGGGCATTATTCACTCTCTTCCCCCGTGATTTTGGTGTGTGGAGGGTCGAGCCAGCCTTTCACACGGCGCTGGGGCGAAGGGGCTGCAGGGGAGCTGCTGTTCTAAAACTCTGAGAGTGTTTTTTTCGCTTTCTTCCTCTGCTTTGATCTAACATGCGTGGAAGGGAAGCAGCCCCCTGTCCCGGGCTGGAAAAGCCGCTCTGTTCCCTCACTTTTCCCTGGCACGGGGGGAGGGGGGGGGTCCCACGGTGAGAAGAGACCCCTCCAGCAGCGCAGGGGGAGCTGGAGAGGTCTTTTCTCGAGAGAGAAAGAGGGGATTTGTGCCCGCGGGGCTGGGATGCCCTCTCTAAGGATGATGCTGCCGGGTGGGCAGCCGGGACCACCGAGCTGCCCTGGCCCGGAGTGAGCGATTCCCGGGGCTGGGAGCGTTCCCCAGCCCGCTGGCTGCTCTCAGCGGGATGGATGCTGCGGGAGGGGGATGCTTCACTCCTGAGCCCGCAGCAGCCCCGGCAGAGCAGCGTTCCGTGCGGGGCTCCGGGGCCAGGCAGGCAGCGGGGGCGGTGGCGTTAACAACGCGGTCCCACCCTGGACGGAGGCTTGGAGAGGGAAGCTGGGAAGGAGCGTGATCCCTCCTCCCTGCCCTGCGCAGGCCGGGGGGAGCATCGGGCTTGGCTTCACCCTCTCTCCCGGGACAGAGTGGTTGCCTCCAGGATTTCTCCGGGAAAAGATCCCCAAAGGTGCCTCACTGGGGCCAGAGGTACCGTCTCCTCTCCTGTGTGACAGCAAGGCTGCTGTGGACTGAACCACGTTTTGCTTCTCATCCGAGTCATCAGGGTGCAATTCCCAGCTTGTCCACGGGGATTTGGATGGTTTCATTGATGCATCTGGGGCGCTGGGACTGAACTTCAGGCCTTCTGCAGTGCAACGAGCTGGGATGCTGATGTTCGGCGTGAGGCTGGTGCCAGAGGAACTGAGCTTTGCGCAACCCCGCGCCTGCCAAAACTTCCTGAGCCCCTGGCTAATTTTAGCAGGGATTGATGGAGATGCAGCCCTTGGAGACATCCAGTTTGGGGATGCTGGCAGCAAGGTGGATGGGGAAGTGGCTCCTCTTCCCTTAAAGAACAGCAGCTGAGCTGGGCTCCCCAAAATCACATCCCAAGTGCCGTCCCTGAGCCAGGGCTGTGCTGGAAGAGGAGGAAGGCAAGGACCCCCGAGGCTGCTTCCTTCACTGCCTGGATGATGGGAACCCCTCTGCTGGGAACCCCTCTGCTGGGAAGCCCTTTGGTGGAAACCCCACTGCTGGGAAGCCATTTGGCCCCTGGGGCGCAGGAGATGGGGGCTGTTAGCACGTCTCAGGCATCTCCAGCAAGTTTTTTTGTCTCCCCTTTGCTTCGTGCTCGAGGTATTTCTGCACATCTCACCTGGCTGGTAACTGTGAGGCACAATCACAGCACAGTGATGATGGGGCTCCAGGGCACTTTGATGTGAGCCTGCTATGAGAACTGCCAGAAGAGGAAATAAAGCAAGCAGAGCTCCTTGCCCCATCTCTGTCTCCCTCCTCTGCAGCAGGTGAGCCCCTCCAAAGGCTCCATGCCCTGATCCCTGCAGGATCAGGAAAAGAGTGGAAATCCCTTCTGCCAAGCACAGGAGGGCAGCTCAAACACCTGCTTGCCAGGGCCGGGGACCAAACACAGGAGAAGCAGCCAGGAGAGGCTTTTGGTCACTGACCCAGAATAAAATCCTGATTTATTTGAGCTGCTGGTCAGCCAAGCAGCACAGGTTTCTGCACTTTTTGTGTTTCTCTTTTGTCTGAAAGCAGAGTTCCCAGGTGTAGGAGAGTGATGCCAGCCAGCACTGGGATGTGCCAGCACTGCACCGGGCTCTGTGCCCCGCCAACACAACACCACTGGCTGCAGACAAAGTTACTGAGGAGCCAAGGAGGAAAAGGGACACTTCTGGCACCTGCTTGAGACCCCCTCTGCCTTTACCAGATGGTGACAAGACAACAGCTCTCAGCTCAGCCCTCAGCTGGTCCAGCCAGCTGGAGATGCACAGAGATGGGCGTCTGGCTTTATTCTGGCATTTGCCAGCAGCTCTGACTTCAAAGGGAACGGTTTGGCAGGGGTGTGGAAGGAGCCAGGCCTGGGCTCTGGGCATGGAAGAAGCCCAGGAGATTAGGGATCCGTGGGCTTTGGCATAAAGACACCACCAGAAGACGTCTCCTCGGGGCTCCATCTGGCATCCAGCGTGTGTTTGAAGCCTCGGTACCTCTTGGGGAGGGAGCACCAACTGCCCTGGCCCTGCTCTGGGCTGCACCGTGCCTTGCCAGCTGCTTTCCCCTCCACTGCAGGGCTTTGAGAGCCTTCCCCCGCTGAGGAGAAGGAAGGGGAGCCTGCAATGCTGAGGGTTGCACACATGGTAACCTCTGCCCCTCCCTGAAAGCGTGGGCTGAGCTGAATTTCCATCCAGACGGTTCCCATCAAGCCCTGGAGGTGGAGGCTGGATGGCTCAGCAAGGCAGAGCCTCACAAACCGTGCGGGGATGAGCCCTCCTTCATCCGAGGGGGTGTGTGGAAAACAAAAGGCTCCTGCAGGCACTTGTGGAAGGTGTTGGAAGTGTGGCTTCCTCCAATAGAGCCCTGGCTTCCCTTCCTGTGGCTCCCAGGAGAGCCCCGATGTGAATGGGGCACTTCCCCTTGCAGCAGGTATCAGGAGCACATCTGAAGCGCCTTTTGTGCTCAGAACCCCTCCAGCCTGGCTGTGCACCGTGGCCCCAGCAGCAGCCCAGCAGAAGGAGAAGTCGGGGCCTGAAAACGAGACTGAAAGAGGCAGTGCTGAGCTCAGGCCGCACAAACCTCAGCCCAGAGCAGCTCCAGGCCGTGCCCTGCGCGTGCTGTGGGGAGCAGGAAGCAATTATCCAGCGTGGTCAGGCAAAGGTCACAGCAGCCCTGCCTCTGGGGACTCCAGAGCAGGGATGCAATGGGGCTGATCCCCCTGCCAAAGCCTCCCTGTCCCTGCAGAGCATCCCTGCAGAGCATCCTCAGGCAGCGACTCAGGGGCTGCTCCTGCACCACCACCCGAGAGTCACAGATAACCACCAGCGGTGGGAGGCACGATTTTGGTTTCATCTAGTGACACAGTGCTCTCTGGGTGGCCCAGCAGTGGGAGCCCTGGGCTGGCTGGCTCATCACACCCTGCCTGTGACTACTGACGCCCTCGATATAGCAA